GCATGCTCCTACTTTTTAATAAATCTGTGTATCTCTATGTAGTTTACATCTTTATCTAAGCTCTGAATGATCCCTGGTTTAATCCCAGGAGGAGACACAAAACCCTAATCCTACTGCAAAAATATGAAGTTTGTTCGAGGTCAAATGCTTAGCCAACCATTGTACTCATGTCCCCCACGGCCTAGTATGTTGTTATGAAGTTTGAAGACGATCCTTAACAAATTGTGGGTAATATAAAGCTTTTAGTACTTTTTACATTTGGTGGGACCTTGACCATGACCCGATTTTTTACCAAAATTAAATCAGCTTCAGCTGTTTTTGGCATCTACCGTCTCCCAAAATTGAAAATAATATCTTGAAAGTGCATGAAAAGTTATAAGTTTGAAAATGTTATTTTCTGTACATTACCCCAACTCCCACTCTCCTCCTTCGACTGTAAATATCCTGATTGATTAACAAACTGTTTAAACCTGTACTGTTTAAGTTTGCACTTTGAGTCCACCTGCTTTCACTTGCATTCATGACAGATGGTAAGTGCATTTGAAAGGTCTTGGGAACCAGCTAACGGGAGCAGTACGTATCTGCGCAAGTGGGAATTTGTAACTGTGTCCGTCAGCAGCAGGCAGCAAGTGAGCAGGTGATTTTAGTGTTGAACAGGCTGTATTCCTAGCAGATGGCAAATGTTAATCCACAAAAGAACCTCCAGAGAAGAGGAACCTGATGGGAATGTTGGTATATGCATCTAGGATCTACGACAAGGAGAGGAGATGAGGCTAAGTAACTCAGATGGCTTTATTTGAAAACAATAGCCCGAACAAGTAACGATCAGAGGGGTATACTACAAACAAAATTCAACAGCGCCAGTCTTTCTTTGTGTTAGCTGCCTCGACGAAACCTAAAACCTCAGTCGGAGATAACAAGTATCATGATGGAAGTTATAAACTTTCTGTTGAACTTCGCTTTCTGCTTCAGATTCTGTGCACACTCACATAAGAAGAGGCGGTTCTTGTGATTCGGTA